TTTCATAAGATAAACTGGTGGACGTAAGAGATCTGTAGCAGTATGCAGAGGGTGAGGCACTGGCCATACTCTTTTCCTCACTTGGGGGTGTAATGTGGTTTTCCCTGGGATGATCAGTGTTGAAAAAGGATGCATGATGCAGTCTGTGATAGAACATGCAATGTCTGAGCAGACTGAGGCTAGGTTCACATTAGCCTAGTCACACTGCGGTAGATCGCATGTGATTCGCACAGGAACCGCACTGCATTCCTGTGCAAATCACATGCGATTTGTGTGCGGTGCGATCGGAGCCATACATTATGTATGGCTCAAATTGCACCACATCTGCACCAAAAAGGTGCAGGACCATTTTTTGGGTCCGTACTAGAATGAGATCTCATGGGTATTCACACCTATGCGATCCAATTCTGCACATCGCACCACGTTTTGCGGACCGATTTCGGGGTGTTGTTAACATACACACCTGCATCAGTTCGCATGAATGAGGTGCGATTCTGATGCGGTGTGGAATTCACACAGAAAACGCTGTGAATTCCACACCACATCAGTGTGAACCCAGCCTCGACGTGGTCTAGCTACTAGCCAGGAGACTGATTAAGTTTTGGTTGGATTGTTTGGAGTTATTACCTCTGAGGGAGCCTCTTGTTTTGGTAGTGTTTTTCTGTAACTCCGATTAATAAACGTGGGCAGGAAGCCCTTAAACACATTTTGGGATATGGATCACCTTTCTGTAAGCTCTTTTGCTTGAAGTTGAACACCATAGATGGGTATAAGGTTTGGTGTCATGAGGATATGATGAATACATAAAATGTTTTATTTTTCACAGTTTTTATTTATTGTAGTTGTTGCATGTAAGAGGTGTGTTATTTTCAGAGAGGGCATAGTGCTGGGTATTTTTGTATTTATTTTGATTGGTCATCTGTGGGGATAATTTTATCTAGCTGCCTGGGTGGGGGGGGCTCAGTTTTATGCTTAAAACTGGTATGCAGGAGCAGCTTGTTCACAACATAACAGAATTGGTATATACAATTTTTAAAGAAAACATGAGTGAGCAGGCAAAAACACATTTCTTTTTATTTCTTATGGGGTTCATATTCAATTGTAGGTCATAACAGAATGGCACAATCATAAAACAAAATACTGCAAGAAGTAAACAAATGAAATGACCTCTGTTTAAAAGTCTGCATACTGTTAGTTCTTAATACTATGTATTGCCTCCTTTAGGATCAATGACAGCATGCAGCCTTATGTAATAGTTGTCTATAAGGCCCCAAATTCTTGCAGGTGGTGTAGCTGCCCACTTGTTTTGGCAAAATGCCTCCTGGTCATGCAAAGTCTGTGGTCATCTTGCATGAACCGCATGTTTGAGACCTGCCCAGAGTGTCTCGATGATATTGAGGGCAGAAGACTGTGATATCCACTTCAGAACCTTCTCCTTTTTCTGCTGTAACCACTGGGGGGTCAACTTGGCCTTGTACTTAGGGTTATTGTCGTGCTGGAAAGTCCAAGAACGTCCCATAGGCAGCTTTCATGCACAAGAATGCAAATTGCCAGTATTTTCTGATAGCATGCTGCATTCATCTTACCATCAATTTTCACAAGATTTCCCGTGCCTTTAGAGCTTACACACCTCTAAAACATCAGTTAGCCACCACCACGCTTCGCAATAGTGATTATTGTGGCTATAGGCCTTGTTGATCCTTCTCCAAACATAGCACTTATGGTTGTGAGCATAAAGCTCTACTTTGGTCTTGCCACTCCAGATTACAATGTGCCAGAAGCTGTGAGGCATGTCAAAATGTTGTTGGGCCCGTAACCGGGCTTTTTTGTGGCATTGGTGCAGTAAAAGGATTCTTCCTGGTAACTCGACCATGCATCTCAAGTATTGTCATATTGTGCTCCTTGAAACAACCACACTGTCATTTTCAAGAGCAGCCTGTGTTTCTCCTGAGGTTACCAACGGGTTTTGCTTTGTATCCCGAACAATTCTTCTGGCAGTTGTGGCTGCAATCTTTCCTGGTCTACCTGACCTTGACTTGGTATCAAGAGATCCCCGAATTTTCCACTTCTTAAAAGGTGATTGAACAGTACTGATTGGCATATCCAAGGGTTTGGATATCTTTTTATATCCTTCTCCATCTTTATAAATTTCCATTACCTTGTTACACAGGTCTTTTGACAGTTCTTTTCTGCTCCCCATGGCTCAGTGTCTCAGAGAGCTAACTCAATGACTATTTATACACAGACATTAATTGCAATTTAAAAAGCCACAGGTGTGGGAAATTACCCTTTAATTGCCATTGTAACCTACCTGAGTGTGTCACCTTGTGTGTCTGTACGATGGCCAAACATTCCAAGGCTTTTGATCTTGATCTTTTGATCATGCCATTTGAGTGATTTCTGTTATCATTATGAATTAAAAAGAAGGCAAACAGCTACGTGATAATAAATTATTTGAATAAATTGCACGAGAGGAGTTTGGCACCATATACCATCACCAAGGCATCCAAATGAATAAGCCCCTTACCAGATGTTCTGATCAAAGCACAACGGTCAATATATGCAGCCCAAAAAGGTATCAATAGTGTAGATGATAAAGCTGACAGTCCTGCTAATGATAAGGAGACTCTCACATTCAATATGGACGGATCCCTCAATTGGAGCCGGCACTGGCTTCTCTTCTTCAAAGCAGGCGAGAGATGCCTGATGACTTAATAGAGAGGGGAGCTGTTATATGGATGAATCATTCAATATTTCTCACAGCGGCAGATGCTGGCTGCCTGCCTTTGTAGGTGGTTGAGGGAAAAAAGTTAGGAAACTTTGAGGGACGGTTTAAATCCGATTTAAATTCTCGGCCTGCTTTGAAGAAGAGAAGCCAGTGCCGGCTCCAAGGGAGGGATCCCTCCATATTGAATGTGAGAGTCTCGAGAAAACCTAATCTTGGATTTTCACACAAGGAACAGGACAACCCCTTTTGTTCATCGCTGTCATTAATTCCTATGGCAAATGCAGCTCCTTTCATCCATAGCATCCGACTAAGCTACACGGGGACATCAACTACGGTACTGGACATCATTGTCCCTTTTTCTGGCTTTTCGAGGATCTCATAAGAGGAAAAGTGAACCTTATCCTTAGGAGGACTGTCAGCTTTATCATCTACACTATTGATCCCTTTTTGGGGTGTGTATATTGACGTGTGTGTTTTGGTCAGAACGTCTGGTAAGGGGCTTATTCATTTGGGTGGCTTGGTGATGGTATATGGTGCCAAACTCCTCTCGTGCAATTTATTCAAATCTATTTGATTATTATTTGGACTTTATGATTATCTATTGTGTTATTGATTAACAATGCATTTTCTTTGTTTTCAATTTTTATTTGCCTTTTTATGCAAGCAGCTTATTTTTTTTTTATTTTGTGTATTTATCCAAGCGCAGGTTTTTACTTTTTATATGTGATAATAAATGACTTCATATGATCACTGTCCTTAACCACTTGCTGACCAGCCGCAGTACATATACTGCGTCTGGGTGGCACCCCCCACAGGCAAAATTACATACATGTACGCAGTTTTGCCTGCTTTGGTTCTGGGGCACGCTTTTCGTTCACATGATCACAGTGTCATCAAAGCTGTTACGAATGAATTCTTTCATAATAGCTGTGTTACCTAGGCTGTAATTGGTCCACAGCTGTCAAATGGTACTTGGGCCATTCACAGCACCCTGTACCGTATAATTAGCTGTAGCCAATTATACATCACAGCTGTCATGAATGGTTAACCCATTCATTATAGTTGAAAACTTTTCTGTTACAAAAAAAAAACAGTAGTATGGTGACACTGAACTACTCTGATGAAAGTAAAAAAAAAAAAAAAAAAAAAAGTTTTAAAAAATTGGCTAAAAAAAATTATTTACAGTCCGCACAAACCATGTATTGTATGTACCTGTTCAATCACACTTGCATGACCTTCGACACTGGGAATATGGCAGTTCTCCATCTTGGAGAAATTTTGTACAGTTATAACACTGTTTGTACTTGATATTGTCCTGTTTTTTATTTGGGACTTGTCCGCCTGAGATCCATCTTACTACATACATTAGTTTCATTCTTTTTCTTTTACAAAGGATTTTATTATAGAATAAGCAGAAATAAACAAACATTCGAGAAGCATATACATTGACCAAAACTTATGCGACATACAGGGCATTTGAGAAATATTTCAGAGTATGTACTGTTAGGAGCATAAGCCTAAATTAATATTTTAGTGCCTTGAAAAAGAAGACAGGGAAGGGGGGGGGGGAGAGAAAAAAAAAAAAAGAAAAGGAAAGTGAGGGGGAAATAATTGAGCAGACAATTGGAGGTCAATGACAATGCAAACTCTAAGAGAAGTTTTTGCTATATCAGCGCTTAGAAAACAGGAGAGGCATGAAGGGAAGCCTTTCCAGAGGTTAATATATATTCCAATATATTCCAGACATTGGGCTCTCAATGGAGTCCGGGTTGCCTAGGTAATATTGCAGATGTAGCACTCAAAGCAATGAACACAATCATTACAATTGGCATAAGGACAGAATGGACAGAAGAATAGAGAGGCAATCAATGAGAAGACGAGGACAAACACAAAAAAGAGAAAAAAGACAGGGACAATCACAAAAGGGCTCCAGGGCAGCCGCAGCAGAATCGATCCTCATATCAACAGAAGGGACTGGTCAAATCTCGAAGGCTGGGCTGTATCCAGCCAGGGACGCCATACCCGCAGGAATTTTGAATGGGTATCCAACAGTACAGCCGTCAATTTTTCATTGACCATTATGAAATTCATCCGGTTTTTGACAGCCTCGAAGCTGAGGAGAGGAGTCTTCCAGGCCTTCGCAATTGTCAATTTAGTAGCCATAAATTAATGTGATGCCAGCTGCCGTTCAGGGCGGAGAAGGCCCTCCAATGGTTTAAATAGGAGCGCTTCGTACTGGTTATGCTTAATGTCTGCGTGAAACATAGTGCGGAGAAGGGCATAAACCCTAATCCACAATCTGCTAACCTTAGGGCAAGTCCACCAGATTTGAACCATAGTACCTGTTAGAAGCTTTCCTTAACCTAATATCTAATATCTTCTTATTAACAGTACTAACATAAGTATGAATGAGTTGGATCTTAATAGAATAATTGAGTTATTATATTTATATTTGTTCTAGATTGGGAAAAGTAAGGAATTAGACTTCATAGTCTGTTAATATACATATGAACATATATCTTGGGTTTTTCCTTTACATTCAAGACACATATGAGAGCAATTAGCTATACCTTCCCCCATCCTCCCCCATCTATGTAAGAGATTATATGTTTCACTAACTAGTGAATTGTTCGGTTTACAAGGTTTATACTGTAATATTTCTTGATTACGATATTTATATACGAGATAACTCTTAGTAAGATTACTTTTAGGAGAATATATATATATATATATATATATATGTATGTGTTATACATCTAATGTATTCTAATTGATGGAATGTCAGTGAAGTTTTGTCTAGGCCTTCTTAGGTTACGCTCAGACTTTAGGAGAAGTAGACTGGAGGTTTGTTATATATACACATCTGTTTCCAATTATCTTTGTGGGACTACAAGTATACCAGCCCATTTTTAGGAAAGGTGGGGGCTGGACAAAGGTTTAAAGGATACATTCTTTGGGCAGCAAGGCGAAGGGAGCTGCTTGCTCATATCCACACACATTCATATTATACACACACAATTACATACAATTTTATTATTAAGAACTTAACTATACTTTTTGGACTTTATTTAAACATTCTGTATTCCAATATTTTATTTCTAATTTTATGCAACATTATAATTAAATCATCTTTTTGAATTTATGCAAGAAGTGGAAGGACTTTCTATTTGAACATTTCTCATCAATACAAGTTAATAAAATATCGAGACAATACGATATTTTACAGTACCCACTTGTTGGCACCCCCCGAAAACAGGCCGGAGAGTATGTAGGAATAAAACTAGCTAGGCGAGCAGGTGTATAATACCATCGATAAAGACTTTTATAAGCATTTTCAAGAATGATGACATTCCTAGAACATTTAGATTCTGCTTGGGTCATGGTCTGCCAATCCTGTTGGTCCAAAGTCCCTCCAAATTCCGACTGCCAACGTTGATAGGAACGGACCGGAGGGGTTCTATAAGAAATAATGGAAGAGTAAACCAAAGAGATCAGGCCCGGAGCATGAGGTCTATGTCTGCACTGGCTTTCAAAGGGGGTCAGACGGTAAGGTCCCGAGTGTGTCCGTATTAGTGTATTAATAAAGTGACGGAGTTGAAGGTAGCCAAAGTGTTCCCGTAAAGGGGGATGTTATAAGAAGAGCGCAAAGTTTCAAAGGTGAGTATTCGAGTGGGAGATAGCCACAAATGTACATCATAAAAACCATGTGTTTGCCACCAAGCAAATTGCCTAGGATTGTCCCGGCTTGGAGGGAACAACGGGTTATGTAACGTAGCAACGGTAAATGGGCAGAAATAAGGCCAGCGGAGTATTTAACAGAGTCCCAAAGACGAAGCGAGAGCGTCCGCGTCGGACTAAGGGTTGATGGACGATGAGAAAAAGGAAGCCACGGTAAAGAAGAAAGTGGTATCAGATGGGAGTCTAACACATCCACAGTAGCCCACAAGGGGAAATGGTGAGATGCATGAATATGAGCTAGGGGGGCAATATTGGCTGCCAGGTAATAAGACTGGAGATTTGGGACAGATAATCCCCCCTCACTCTTTCGAGCAAATAAAATATGTTTACTAATTCTGGGTCGAGAAGAACTCCAAATAAAGGACAAAAGTTTTTGCTGATGGCTACGCAATATATGCAAAGGAATCTGAACTGGTAAAACGCAAAATAAATACAATAATTTAGGGAGATAGGTCATACGGATTGCATTGATTCTACCGAACCATGAAAGTGGGTAGTGAGACCAGGAGGACAACAACTCGGACAGTTCTTGGAAGACAGTGGGGAAATTAGCCCGGTATAGTCCACCATATGTCGGGGTAAGCTTAATTCCTAGATATGGTAGGGCCGAGAGCCATTGAAAAGGGAACAAGTGTTTTAAAGTAGCCAAAAGTGATGAGGAGAGAGTAATTGACATAGCTTTTGATATGGCAGAATTGACATGAAGACCCGAAAGAGTTGCAAAGGAGTCCAGAACCACCAGTAAATTTGGCAGAGTAACCCCTGGGTTCGTAATTGACAACAGTATATCGTCTGCGAACAAAGACAACTTATGTTGGGAGCCAGCCGCCTCAATCCCCTTAATGTCAAGATGCATACGAATGGCTTCTGCCAACGGTTCCAAGGCTAAAATAAAAAGTATGGGGGAAAGCGGACAACCTTGTCTAGTACCCCTGGCAATCGAGAACATGGAGGACTCAAAGCCATAGTATTTATGTTTTGCTTGAGGGGATGTATATAGCGAAGAGATCCATCGTAAGAACGAGGGGCCAAAGCCAAAGCGGTTAAGGACCGATAAAAGATAAGGCCAGGATAAAGTGTCAAAGGCCTTGTTGATATCTAAAGATAGGAGCATCAAATCAATTTTGCGAGTATGAGCTAAATGTTGTAATTGTAAAATGCGTCTGATAGCATCTCCAGCTTGTCTGTGAGGGACAAATCCTACCTGGTCCCTTTTGATCAGACGAGAAAGGAAAGAATTCAGTCGAGTGGCCAAAATTTTGGTAAGGATTTTCATATCAGTATTAATAAGAGAAATCGGCCGATAATTTGCCCAAGAGGAATGATCTCGATCCGGTTTAGGGATCATAACCACATTTGCGGTCACAGAGTCCGTAGAAAAGTTCGAACCCCCTTCACCGCGTTAAACATGGTGGCAAGGTGAGGGGCAAGCACATCAGCCAATTTCTTGTAATATAGTGCCGTGTATCCATCTGGACCTGGGCGTTTGCCCATCTTCAGGTCTGCTATGCATTGCAAAACCTCTGATATTTGGATATCATGGTCCATCAAATCCTTATGAGCAGGAGTCAAAGTAGGCAGGGACAAACTAGATAAAAAGTCAGAAATTTACTGAGGATCAGCCCGTGTGGGATCAGTATAAAGTTTGGCAAGCCGATACCGGAATTCCTCCAAAACCGCTACAGGATTACTTGTGAGTGTATTGGTGGAGTGGCGAGTGCGTAAAGAAATCGGTTTGGGGTGATGTGTAAAAGAACGTAATCTATGAGCCAACATGGAGTCTGGTTTGTTTGCTTTACTATACCACTTCTGGCGTGTCCAACGCAAGGAGCGCTCAGCCTTATCCGTCAAACAAAGGTCCAGTTCTAGGCGAGCCTGATCTACGGTTCGAAAGGTTAGGTAACTGTTTAAATTGAGCCGATGCGGAAGCGAGCTTTGATTCCAGCTGACGCTGTTTAAGCTGCCTATCCTTCTTTCGTCTTGAAGCTATCTGGATAATGTGTCCCCTAAGAACAGCTTTGTAAGCTTCCCATAGCGTCACCGAAGAAGAGACCGAACCCGAGTTTAGCTGAAAATATTCCTGAGATTTATGATGCAGTTCTGCCTGAATCTCCTTCAACGAAAGCAGGGAGTCATTCATTATCCATGAAGAATAGCCCGGCTTACAGAGAAGAGATCGGCAGACCACCAAAATGGGATCATGATCAGACCATGGAACCGTGAGGATAGAGACAGAGCGAACCAAAGGGAGATGTTTACGTGATACCAAAGCATGGTCTATTCTGGAATGAGAATGATGAGAGTGAGAATAATAGGTATAGTCTTTCCCCCGGGGATGAAATTCACGCCAGAGATCTACCAGATCATGAGTGCTTAACGTACGCACAAAGGACTTAGCTGATGCGAATAGGACAGGATGCTCTGCCGGGTATATCTAGTGCGGGATTTAACACTAAATTGGAGTGTGCCATCAAGAGAGTACCCCGTTGATGTATAGCCAAGAGGGAACAAAGATGTGACAAAAACGGTCCAGGATTAACATTGGAAGCATAATAGGACATTATGGTAACCTCTACACCTTGTATCGTGCCCTGCAGCAGAAGGTATCTACCATTAGGATCAGCAATACACTTCACGCAGACAAACAGAGTTTTGCTATGGAAGGCAACTAGTACCCTGATGAAGTCACGACGCACGTGACGCAACGCGTCGGAACGCCATTCCCAGTTCGAGATTACGTCACTTCCGGTCACGTGGGGACGCTTGTCCGGACGCAGCGGCCATATTTGTTTCCCTCCCTGTATGTGAATGAGAATACACCCATGATGTGAGGTGGAAAGCGCTGTATTCAAAGACTACATGTGAGTGGAAAAGAGTTTGTTATGCCAAAATTACTTCTAAATAAACGGTATTATACTATGGGAAGCTTTTGTTTGTGCCCTATATGACGAGGTGAGAGGAGGTGGAGTGGAAGTCCAGAGGTCCCTTGCTGAGTTGCTTGGAAGAAAAGATTGCCTGTGAGGAGAGTTTTTTGCCTTGTGGCCCTGTGTGGGTCGAGGAGGGGAGGTGAGCAGGCATTGCTGCCTTTGTAGGATTCCTTTTTGAGCACTAGAAGTGGAGATCACAGAGTGTTTTTCACAAATTTTTGCATGGACTTTTTCGAGTTTACTTTGGACACTGAGTTCATTTATTTTATCACAGTATTAAGTAGCAGTCTATTATTATTTTTATTTCGGGATATATGTATTACATTATTTGTTACAGAATCACTGTTTTTTGATGTATAGGTTCATCACAATCATCACGATTTGTCACAATTCATTATGTTAGTAGTATTATTATGTTAATTGATGTATCACTGATAGTTGAGGATTTATCATGAATTTTTTTTAATTGTCATTTTTTCATCACAGATTTATTAAGAGGCAAGATTAATTGATATATATGAGAGGTGTTTATGTATTTTAGCTCATATGTTTTTTATCACCGTACAATATTGATTATTTTAAGTTTAGTTGGTAATTAAGTTATACACAGAGGGAATTCTTTTAGATAATGTGGGAGCGCTTCACTATTTAATGCATGTTAACTAGCACTCCTCTCTGTTTAGTGGGGCCATTAGCCTGAAATATCTGAGGGTAGCGTGCATCAAAATATTTTGGGGCAGAAGTAGTTGAGAAATGAGTTTCCTGTAGACAAGCGAAGTCAACTTGACGGGCCCGGAGAAACTTAAATATCTTTACCTGTTTCTGCGGGGAATTCATCCCTTGAACATTCAGAGATAGCCAGTTCAACAACATAGTGATCGGAAGGAAAAAAAGGTCAGATCCGCCGCGTTCCCCGGGAGCGCTGAAAAAAAATTTACAGAAGCACAAAACACACATGACAAGGGACGAAGAAAAGGAGTTAGAGAAGAAAGAAAGGAACAAGAAGACATCTAATATACAAGCAATATATCTGTGAAACAGCAAGATTAATACAAACATCATAATAATCAACAGTGGGTAAAATACCCACATGGGGGCCGGGTAGCGGGCGGGACAAAAAACCAGACCGCTAGCCAGCTCAGAGGGGGACACAAAAATCCACCAGAACAACTCGACATTAATAAAAAGAACAAAGAATTTATATGCAAATAACTTAGGCCAATACACCTGTGAGTGAGTGGTCAAAAGGAAACTCGTAAGACGATGAAAATCTAAGCCAAGCAGAGAGGAGGAGAAAAAAAATAAAGGTGGGTGGGTTGGAGGTGTTTGGGATCCACTCTGGCCTGGAAGAGATAAATCACGTGAAGGTTATGCGCCTCTCGGGCCTACAAATATTGTAGCCTCCTCATTCGGGGAGCGGAACCAATCCAGATTCAATTCCAAAAGTGGTGGCGAATATCCACATCTAATGAAGCTGTATACTGACGGCCAATCATTAAATATTAAGTCTCAGAGACTTCCTGGAAACGCTGTGCCTGTAGAGATCGAAGGGCCTGAAAGCTACTCTGGCTTGGAGAAGAAGATTTACGTGAGGGCTGGGAATAATTTCATTCTTTTTATACATTTTGTAGAACAAACATTGAAAGTAAAAACATTATTACATTTTTTTTCTTACATACCCACTTAAAGCAGAACTTCAGCCTTTTTGTAAACAAAAGCTCTTTTGAATTCACAGGCACATCAATTTACTCATTGAATATTACATTTTTTTTTTCTATGTACCTTTTT